TGCTCTGAATTAGGCTTTGGCTTAAGGGAGTATTGTGGCTGGTTTGATCTTCTGTCCAAACCACTAAAACTTTCTCCATATCAGCAATAAGGCTGTTTCACTTTCTTATCATTCATGTGTTCACTGGAGTAGCACTTTTAATTTCCTTCAAGAATTTTTCTTTTGCATTTAAGACTTGGCTAACTGTTTGGTACAAGGGGCCTAGCTTTTGGCTTTTGACATACCTTCCTCACAAAGCTTAATCCTTTCTAGCTTTTGATTTAAAATGAGAGATGTGCGATTCTTCCTTTCACTTGAACACGTTGAGGCCACTGCAGGGTTATTAATTGGCCTAATTTCAATATTGTCATGTCTCAGGGAATAGGGAGGCCTGAGGAGAGGGAGAGAGATGGCGGAATGACCGGTCTGTGGAGCAGTCAGAACACACGTTTATTTGTCAAATTCACTGTCTTACATGGCTGCGGTTCGTGGTGCCCCAAAACAGTTACAATGGTAACATTAAAGATCACTGATCATAGATCACCATAACAGATATAATAATAATGAAAAAGTTTGAAATATTGCGAGACAGAGACACAGACACAAAATGAGCACATACTATTGGAAAAATGGTGCCAGTAAACTTGCTGGATGCAGGGTTGGCACAAACCTTCAATTTGTAAAAAATGCAATATCTGTGAAGTGCAATAAAATGAGGTATGCCTATATATAGGAAAGACTCAATAAACGCTTTATTTACCAGTATTCAAAAGAATTATCTAGCATCCTTAAAAGGTTGCCAGTGAGAGTTTTTTGTTTTGTTGATAATTATTAACAACTCATGGATGTAAAGTTATTTATTTCAAGCCACTGTAGCTATTATTCTTACTGACGTTCATATCGGCCCATTTTTGGCCAGTGGGCTTTTTCAGATTGGTTCCAGAGTGCTTTCAGAGTGATAGAGGTCTTTAATAGTTTGTTTTCTCTTGGGAAAAGTTGTTTGGAACTGTGGCGAAATGAGTTCCTTTATTTGGCCGTTTGCCTTGGTTCTTTGGAGAAACAGCTTGAGAGATTTTTTCCTCTTAGCCCTGAGGAGTCACTCCCCTAGTTTGTTCCCCTGAGGGTTTGTTACTTTTGTCCAGGTTGATTGACCTTTCCTGGGGAAGCTGTAAACCATTTGATTTTTCGTCTGGCTCTGAGCTGCAGCCTGCCCTGTGTTTGGTATGTACCTTGCAGGGATTGGTCAATAATCAAAAACCAAACCCACTGCCAATGAGTCGATTCTAACTCTTAGTGACCTAGTAGGACAGAGTAGAGCTGCTCCATAGGATTTCCAAGGCTGTAAATTTTTATGGGCACAGACTGCCATATCTTTCTCCTGCGAAACAGGCCAGTGTCTTCAAACTGCCAAGCTTTTGGTTAGCAGCCAAGCGCTTTAACCACTGCACCAGTAGTGCTTCTTTGATTGGTGAATTAAAAGAAAAAACAAAAAAACCAAACCCATTGCAGTCGATTTCAACTCATAGTGACCCTATAGGACAGAGTGAATGTACCCACACAAATGAAGTGACTATGGACTCTTCAGATGAGGTGACTATTTTCTGCTATGCAAATGAAGTGCCTGTGGCCTACCAAGCAGGGATTGGTCAGTTTGTGACCCCACTGTGAGGGGCCATGCCTTGAAATTGACATGGAGTTGTGTGAGAGAGAGTGTGTGTGTGTGTGTGTGTGTGTGTGTGTGTGTGTGTGTATGTGTATGCGTATGCAGCCAACCCCAACCTGACAGAGGTTTTTTCAGACTGAAGCAGGAAGAGAAGCTGCAGGAACAAGCAGAAGGAAGAAAGAAGAGAAGAAGTAGAGAGAGGAGGCAAGGAACCTCCTAAAAGAGCTGTAACACAGTCAAGGGCTATAACACCAAAGATAGCGAGAGGCCTGGAAGGGGCCCAGTGACAGAGCCGGCAGTGGCAGGCCTAGAAGGGGCACAGTGGCAAAGCCAGCAGACAAATGGCAAGGCCAAGAGGAGCCTATCCTCAGGGGAGCTGAGAGGAGCCTGTCCTCAGGGGAGCTGAGAGGAGCCTGTCTTCAGGGGTCTGAGAGGAGCCTGTCCTCAGGGGAGCCGAGGGGAGCCGAGAGGAGCCTGTCCTCAGGGGAGCTGAGAGGAGCCTGTCCTCAGGGGAGCTGAGAGGAGCCTGTCTTCAGGGGTCTGAGAGGAGCCTATCCTCAGGGGAGCCGAGGGGAGCCGAGAGGAGCCTGTCCTCAGGGGGCAGAGAGGAGGCCTACACAGCCAGGAGGAGCTTAGAGAGCTGTCCTGTACTGAAGAAGGGAGATTTTGCCTACTTGCTTCCTAATCTAGATCCTAAGTTGAGCCTGTTGATCCTGATCCGCAGATGTACCCTGTTCCTTAGTAAACCATTTAACTGTAAGTGCAGTTCATGAGTTCTGTGAGACACTGCAGCAAATTGCCGAACCCAAATGTGGGAAGAGTGCTGAGGGGAGGGAGAGTGGCCGGTGTCGGAGATGGAGTAGTACAGCAGCTTGAAGAATGTGGAAATCCGGGATATGTTGACCTCTGCCTCATAGGAATTGGCTTTGTACTGATTCTTACGCTTGAAATTATTTGTACATTGACTCATCCTGTGTATTTCTTGTCCCAGACCTGGAACTAGCCATTTCTTTAAGAAGTCCTGGTTATTTTTAGTGGACATGATATTTAAAGATCATAGTCTGAATGTAGTGGTTAAGAGCTCGCCTGCTAACCAAAAGTTAGGCAGTTTGACTCCACCAGCCGCTCCTTGGAAACCCTCTGGGGCAGTTCTGCTCTGTCCTGTAGTGTTGCTATGAGTCAGAATCAACTTGATGGCGCGTGCACACACACACGCACACATGCATACACACACACACACACAGTGTATGCCTTTACACACTCATTGATCTTTTATAGACAGGCATTTGAAAGCTGATTTGACCAATGGTGCTCTCAGTAACCAGTAGTGATTTATGTAGCTATTTTAGCAAACATTTTTCTAGTGTGAAATGTTTAGTTTGAATGTTATATAAAAGCAATATTTAAAGACCTGTAGGTACAAGTTAAATGTGTTGTTGCTAAAAGTTGTTGCTTACCGGTCGTACTTAGGTAAACCTTGATTGTTGCTTTTTGTTCATCACTCTAAGAGATCTGGTTCTTTGTTTTAAAAGTTCTATTGGATGAGCTAACTGTAAACACAAACTAAACCTGTTGCAGTCAAGTTGATTCTGACTCATAATGATCCTATAGGACAGCCCCATAGGGTTTCCAAGGCTGTCATCTTTAAGGAAGCAGACTGCCACATCTTTCTCCTGAGGAGCAGCTGGTGGGTTCGGACTGCTGACATTTCAGTTCGCAGCCAAGCACTTAACCAACTGTGCCACCAGGGCTCCTTTAGCTAAGTAGTAAGTATAAATTTCTTCTGTTGATATAGGCTAATTAGATCTCATCTTTAAATAGACATTATTGCTTTATAAAATACTTGGAAGAGAGAAAAATAATGATCTGTAATCCCATCATCCTAACAGCATTATACTTTTTGAGTATTCTTTTGTTATCAAATTTGGTTCGTATGCAAAAATTTTTACATAATCACATCTAGCCAGAGTTAGCAACATTTGTCTCACAATTCCCACATAACCTTTAGCTACTTCATCAATTCCTCTAGTTTAAAAAAAAAGAAAGATGTTCTAACTATTTCTCATTTTAAATCCTCATGAGTGCTACAGTCCTATTTCTGGAGCAAGGGCAGTCACTGTACTGTTTGTTTTAGTAATAGAATTGAAAAGTAGTACAAAAGAAATCAGCTTTTAAAAATCCCATTTTGTTTTGGATTTTACTCTGATGTTTAACACTGTAATTATCATTTTTAAAAAAGTTCCTGATGTTAACATGAGTTATCCTTCTCTGAGCACACCTCACCTGATAAGAATGAGATAGTGAAAATTGTTGCTGCTGTTAGTTGCTGTTGCATCGATTCCGCCCCACTGTGACCTTGTGTGTAACAGAATGCAAGATTGCCCATTCCTGTATTAGCCTCACAGTAGCCAGGATGGTTGAGTACATCGTTATGGCTATTGTGCCGCTCCATCTCTCAGAGGCTCTCCCAAGCCCTCATTGGCCCTCTGCTTCACCAAATATGATGTCCTCCTCCGGAGATTGATCCTTCCTGAAGAAGTTTCCTAAGCAAGCGAGAAGGACAGTGTTCTCTTGTGATCCATAAAGTTTTCATTGGCTAATTTTCAGAAATAGATTGCAGACTTTCTTCCTACTCTGTCTTAGTCTGGAAGCTTTTCTGAAGCCTGTCCACCATGGGTGACCCTGCTGTATTTAAAACACTGGTGGCCTAGCTTCTAGCATCACAGCAACACACAAGCCACCACAGTATGACAAACTGATAGACAGATGATAGAGTGAAAATTATTACCCAATTATTTCTTCATTTTTAATAGATTTTTCTTCTAGATTTAAACAATAATTCAAAATTATTGAAAAAAATTCAAATTTTGAGCAGTTCAATTATAAGGAAGTCTGAGCTCCTGCCTCCTGTTTTCTATGAGACAGTTAGTGTCAGTTTCCTAATTCAGAATGCTGAGGAAGTGATTGAACTAAATAGATAGGCACCTTTCTACATTTATATTAGAAAAGGTTCTTTTAGATACAGGTGAAGTCATATTGGTTCTGTAAGGTGTTTTATGAATAAAATAGACTGGTATTAAGTGAGACTCTAGCTATCATTTGTAACAAACGTTCTTGGTAAAATGCTTTTCAAGTTTGAAATAGACTGAGATAGAAACATAACTTAATTGTAAGTCATGAGCTGCAGTATTGAAACTTTCATTCATTTCTGCTAGTAAAAAATGTATTCTTTCTTTCTCGCTTTCGATTGTTTTTTTTCACTCCTCAATCTTATTATTTGAGCAGTGAAATTAGAGTGCGATAAATTTTTCTCAGTGTTAACCAAAGAATTGATTAAAATTGTTTTTCTTTCTTTTAGGAAATCCACCTTCTTCAATGTATTAACCAATAGTCAGGCTTCAGCAGAAAACTTCCCATTCTGCACTATTGATCCTAATGAGAGCAGAGTACCTGTGCCAGATGAGAGGTTTGATTTTCTTTGCCAGTACCACAAACCAGCAAGGTAAGAAAACCTTTATGCCATTGTTTATTTGGTGGCTCTGTATAGACTGAGTAAAGAAATGTAAGTGATATGTTTAAAATCACGTAGAAGAGTTTTTCAGAATTAGTGTGGCATTGTTTTAGGTGATTATAAAAGTAACGTAGAACATGGACAAGGGTGAGGAAGGATACAGCTGCGGTTTTTACAGTTATCTTCTGTGAGGGGTGTAAAATAGAAGAAGTAGTTTGTATTATATGATCCTGTGCATGTAAATTATATGTGTATGTGTGTATGCAAGGAGCCCTGGGGATGCAGTGGCTAAGCACTTGGCTACTAGCCGCTCTGCAGGAGAAAGATGTGGCAGTCTGTTCCTGTAAAGATTACAGCCTTGGAAACCCTACGGGGCAGTTCTTCTCTGTCCTGTAGGTTGCTATGAGTTGGAATTGACTTGATGGCAACAGGTTATTTTGATGTGTGTATGCATAGGAAAATGTATATAATGAAGATTACAAGCTAGTTGATTGTTATCTCTAGATAGTAGAATTTTTAGATGATTTTTACTTCATTTCTTATACCCCTCTATATTGTTTGAATTTTTTACAGTAAGCGTATATTATTATATCTTTAATTAGAAAAAATAAGTAAAGCTGTTTTATTAGGAAAAAATAATACAGGTTCATTGCAGTAAGTTCAGACAATAGGGAATATATAAAGAGAGACATGATAAAAACCGAAAATCCAAACCCATTGCCTTAGAGTTGATTCCGACTCACAGCAACCATATAGGACAGAGTAGAACTGCCCCATGGAGTTTCCAAAGAGCGACTGGTGGATTCAGACTGCCAGCGTTTCTGGTTAGCAGCCCGAGCTCTAACCACTGCACCACCAGGGCATATTAAAATTCATCATTGAGTGGTTCCTAAGTATTTTTCTAGAGAGGAAAGAATTTCTATAAAATGTTTGGGGAATTCATCTGGTTAATAAACAGATTCTTAGTACTATTTTATAATAAAACCATCCTTTCTTTTTCAGCAAAATTCCTGCCTTTCTAAATGTAGTAGATATTGCTGGCCTTGTGAAAGGAGCTCACAATGGGCAGGGGCTGGGAAATGCCTTTTTATCTCATATTAGTGCCTGTGATGGAATCTTTCATCTAACACGTGAGTACAGTTGCTTATTTAATTGATTAATTTCATGAAGATCAGTGCTTTCTTTCCATTGTTGCTCAAATAAAATGAGAAATGACTGATTAAAAGGTTTTCTTTCCTTCTTAAGATGAATCATGGGTTTATCTGTTAATTGTGAATTTAAAGCTATTTAACATGACCTCCGTATGTGAAGGCTTATTCCTTAGCAAGTAAATGCTGAATCGGTAGTATATTCTTACTGAATTTTATCCCCTGTTCTAGATTAGACCCTTTTAGAAGTGTTTCATTGTGGAGTAATTTTGTTGATCATAAAGACGTTTTGATATTTTCTTAAGTTGTATCATTTTTCTACATTTTTGCTTACACCATGTGTTGAGAAGGCAGAATTGATAGAGGAAGTGGTTCCATTGTTTTGGGGAAGAGAAAGGCATCCAGTTTATCTATTAGAAATGAATGGATTAAGGAAAAACTATAGGTCAGCTAGTCCTTATGGAGAGAGGAAAACAGGTAGAACAGTTGGGTTGGCTTTTGGTCTTTTGACCGCAAAAGTGAGGGAAGAACATAATAATCCTCTGATCAAACAGAAGATTTAGGTAAAGGCTCAGGTCAAGACTGTACTTTATGATAACAGTATTATAATGAGCAAATTAATGCAAATGAAGGAAACACAAGGTAGAGGTGGGGGCCGCTTCTAGTCTGTTTGTTACTGGTCATTGAGAATGAGTGTTTAGAAAATTTTATAACAGATCGAGGAATTTTTTTGTCCTTTGAATCTAGTAATAAAATTTTTGCTAGTATTTTTTTACTTATCTTTTAAAGAATTCATTTGCCTAGTAATTCATTTTTATTTTACAAGAGTCTACCACAAAAGCGCATCACAGGTAGTCTGAGAAGCACTGATACAGTTAAGTTTCACCTTTGGTGAAGGTTTGGAAAGACCTTCTGGAGCGATTTGTGGTGCAGGCAAAGAATAAGGTCATTGGGGGGAAAATTCAGTTATGTAGAGAAGTGTTACTTAGAGCCTGTGCATTGGTGAAACCCTCTTGTGTTTTTCTAATAATTTCTTCTCCACTATTCTGGTGACTGATGTGACGGTTTAGAAGACAGGATAAAGTTAGGTGTCACTCCAGGTGTCTAGACTGGATCAGTTGAAGGAATCATGATGCCATTAACTGAAATGCTAAATATAGAGGGAGCAGCTAAGTCTTGAGAGAGAGATGATAAGTAACGTTTTGGACATTTATATGAATTTGTGTACCTGGGACATCCAGGTAGGGATATCTATCAGGAACTAGAATTCATAGGGCAAGTGTGACAGAAGGCTGGTAGCAAGGGAACTGCTGAAAGTTTGGGTGTGTTTGGTTTAATTGGCATAGTTCTTGGGTGGTGCAAATGGTTAGATACTTGACTACTAGCCAGACGGTCACAGCCAGGAAAACCCCATGGAGCAGTTCTATTCTACACACATGGGGTCACTGTGAGTCAGAATTGACTTGATGACAACTAAGTTTAATTGCATTTTTTTCCTTCTTCTTAATAATTGTATCTTAGATTGATTGAAGTACAATAAAATATGTATGCTCCTAACTAAATGCATTTTTCCCTAAGGAATGTATATTTTATTTTTGAAATTACCATACGGTAAAATTAACTATTTTTTGTTATTCAGTTCTATGAATTTTGACATGTGTAAGGTAGATTCATGTATTGACCACCATAATCAGGACACAGAAGACGTCCATCACCCCATCACCCCAAAGCACTCTGTTAGACTATCCCTTTATATTTATACTCTCCCCACCCCTAACCCTGCAACTGCCTTAACTGATCTGTTCTCCATCATTATGGTTGTCTTTTTGAGAATGTTTTGTAAATGAAATCATGAGAATGTGCTTTTTTGCTTTGTTTTATTTTGAAAAGATGATTACAGATTAAAGTTAATGGTCTTACTAGCAGATCCTCTAGGCCCATCCATCAGACATGCCTCTAGAAACTAGCAGGATGAGAGGATATTGCAGAGGGCATTAGTTTCCTATATTTTTTTTTCTTTAATTTTTCAGTTTTCTTTCATCCTATTATTTTATGGATTGTTTATTTTAAATTTTATTGTGCTTTAGATGAAAGTATACAGCACAAATTATTTTCTCATTCAAAAATTTATACACAAATTGTTTTGTGACATTAGTTGCAATCCCTGCAATGTGACAGCACTCTTCTCCTTTCCACCCCGGGTTCCCGTGTCCATTTGTCCAGTTTTACTGTCCCTTCCTGCCTTCTCATCTTGCTTTTGGGTAGGACTTGCCCATTTGGTCCTATGGATCTTTTAGATATCTTTCAATACCAAAATGTTTGGTCAGAGTTTCTGCTCTCAGTGGGTCCTGTGTCTTTAGCGTCTTGAGCTTGCCCTGAGAGCAGTTTAGATTTGTAGCTGTTTCTTCTGGTTTCCTGCTTTCTTCTGGATTTTGGCCTCGTAGGTAGTCTTTGAGCACTGATTGACTGCATTTTATACAGTATATTAAAGTTGTCTTCCATGGTGGGGTTGGTCTGAATTATTTAAACCCTTTCTGCCATGTGGCATAGTGGTCAAGAGCTTGGCTGCTGTCTTAGTCATCAAGTGCTGCTGTAACCGAAACACCGCAAATGGATCTCTTCAACAAAGAGAAATTTATCTTCTCACAGTCTAGTAGGCTGCAAGTCCAAATTCAGGGCATCAGCTCCAGGAGAAGGCTTTCTCTCTCTGTCAGCTCTGGAGGAAGGACCTTGTGATACATCAGTCTTCCCTTGGTCTGGGAGCATCTCAGTGCAGGAACCTCAGGTCCAAAGGACGTGCTCTGCTCCCGGCACTGTTGTCTTGGTGATATGAGGTTCCCCTGTCTCTCTGCTAGCTTCTCTCTTTTATATCTCAAAAGAGATTGGCTTGAGACACTACCTAATCTTGTAGACCTCATCAATATAACTGCTGCTAATCCATCTTATTACATCATAGTGATAGAGTTTACAACACATAGGAAAATCTCATCAGATGATAAAATGGTAGACAATCATACAGTACTGGGAATCATGACCTAGCCAAGTTGACAGATATTTTTGGGGGACACAGTTCAATCCATGACAGCTGTTAACCAAAAGGTCAGCAGTTTGAATCCACCAGCTGCTCCTTGGAAACCCTCTGGGGCAGTTCTGCTCTGTCCTGTGTGGTCGCTATGAGTCGAAATCAACTTGTCATGGTTTGAATTATGTCCCCCAAAAATGTGTGTATCAGTTTGGCTGGGCCATGATTGCTGGTACTGTGTGATTTTCCTGTATGTTGTAAACCTGCCTCTATGATGTTAATGAGGGAGGATGAGTGGCTGTTGTGTTAGTAAGGCAGGACTGGATCTACAAGACTGGACTGTGTCCTGAGGCAGTCTCTTGAGATACAAAGGACAGAAGTGAGCAGTGAGACAGGGGGACCTGATACCATCGAGAAAGCAGCGCCGGGAGCAGAGCGCGTCCTTTGGACTGGGGTCCCTGCGCCTAGAAGTTCCTAGTCGGGGGGAACACTGATGAGAAGGCCGACAGAGAGAAAAAGTCTTCCCCTTCAGAGCTGACGCCCTGAATTTGGACTTTCAGCCTACCTTACTGTGAAGAAATAAATTTCTCTTTGTTAAAGCCATCCACTTGTGGTATTTCTGTTATATATAGCAGCACTAGATAACTAAGACACAACTCGACAGCAACAGATTTCTTTTTTTTTTAATCTGCCCATTATTAGGAGGGAAGATTTTTTTTTTTCCCCCATCTTTTATTTTGTTTCTGAGCTCTCACTTGATTCAGCCTTTTTTTTTTTTAATTGTACTTTAGATGAAGATTTATAGAACAAATAGTTTCTCATTAAATAGTCAGTACACATATTGTTTTATGACATTGGTTAACAACCCCACGACACGTTGACACTCTCCCTTCTCAACCTTGGAGGACCTTTTTTTCTTTTTTGGTGAAAATACACATAGCCAAAGTTACACCATTTCAAAAAATTCTACATGTACAATTCAGTAACATCGATTACATTCTTCCTGTTGTGCTGCTGTTCTCACTATCCTTTTGCAACTTATTCCATCACCATTATCTTTAACTCACTGCCCACTAGGCTTCCCATCAAACCGTTTGAGTTGCTGTTGTCAATTTGATCTCACATAGATAATTCTTGTTTTTTTTTTGTACCTTAGATGAAGCTTTTCAGAACAAATAGTTTCTCATTAAACAGTTAGTACACATATTGCCCTGTGACAATGGTTAACAACCCCATGACATGTCAACACTGTCCCTTCCCAACCTTGGGTTCCCTATCACCAGCTTTCCTGTCCTCTCCTGCCTTCTAGTCCTTGTCCCTGGACTGCTATGCCTCATTAGTCCCATTTTGTTTTATGGGGCTGCCCAATCCCTGGCTGAACAGTAAACCTCGGGAGTGACTTCACCACTGAGCTAAAAGGGTGTCCAGGGGCCATACTCTTCAGAGTTTCTCCAGTCTGTCAGGCCAGTAAATCTGGTGTTTTTTTGTGAGTTAGCATTTTGTTCTACAACCTTCTCCAGCTCTGTCCAGGACCCTCGGTTGTGATCCCTGTCAGAGCAGTCAGTGGTAGTAGCCGGGCGCCATCTAGCTGTACTGGACTCAGTCTGGTGGAGGCCTTGGTAGCTGTGGTCCATTAGTCCTTTGAACTAATCTTTTCCCTGTTTCCTGTTCTCTTCATTCTCCCTTGTTCCTGAAGGGGTGAGACCAGTGGAGTATCTTAGATGGCTGCTTACAGGCTTTTAAGACCCCAGACACTACTCCCTAAGGTAGAATGTAGAACATTGTCTTTGTAAACTGTGTTATGCCAGTTGAGCTAGATGTTCCCCAAGACCATGGTCCCCATAGCCCTCCACCCAACAATTCAGGCCCTCAGGGTCTGGATGTGTCTGTGGAGCTTCCATAACCTTTGCTTGTATAAGTTGTGCTGGCTTCCGCAAAGTATAGTGTACTGTCTTACCCT